CCCACACCAACGCTCCGACGCCATTTAGCCATGGTGCAATCGCCGTGAGTATCAACATTCCAATCCCACCGTCTCATTGACAACTGTCATTTCACTTCTCCGCGACTTGCCTTTACCAGCGCCTGTATGCTGTTTGTTTGTTCAAATTGACTGAGCTGTCCTTACCCGCCTTGCTTTTCCCCAACCAGAAAAAAATGGCAGCTGGAGTAGTACACAAACCGCATTTATAACTGCTTGGTTGGTTTCCACCCTGAAAATTTGGTTACATGTACGGGGGATGAAAACCTCGTATAGTGGACGTGTACGCTCCGCAAGGAGGCTCGCCCTGTTATGTTACACCATGGTGCGTTTGTATACCCTCTACCACTACTGCAGCGTGGGTGCATCGCCCATCGAGAGTGGCTCTGAGCCTGGCCTTCAAATTCAGGAAATCAACAAAGCACTGCTGACTTCCTTTTTTTGCTGCTGGTATTGGACTCGCCTCAGTTGAGCTATTTATCTGGCAACAACGCATATAAAAATGGTCTCTCGTCTGTCACAAAAAACAATATAGCTGGGATAGCTTCAAGATTCTCTGCGATGCCTATGGCCTACATCGACGAGCACAACTGTAACTGCCTTTGTCAGAGCAGTAGCTACACCGCACCAAAACCCATTTCGCCAGCGAAACAAAGAACATATGTTTATCACCCGATTTATGTATATAGGCAGTAAAAACCCAAACTCTCCACTACCAGCATGCGAGGCTAGCACTGAAAGTCTTCCTTGCCAGTGACCGCTTATAGAATAAAGCTGATAGTAGTGCTTCGGGACTGTTAGCCCCCTTACAATCACCTTTCCTCCTAGATTGTCCTGGTAATGTCTATTGCACTAATATCATACAGGAAATTCTAGTCCACCATCTCGGAAGTCCCCTCTCCGCCATTCTTACGTGTTTGGTTCCCCTTACCACGCCGCCGGAAGCTGTTAATAATGTTAATGCTTATTTTAACTTGTGGATGTCACACCGTCAGGTATGATAGTAATGTTACAGTCAGAATAACAGCACGACTGGCGGGCATTGTGAACACACGGAGGTAGGAGAAGGGACAGAATCATTTGGGGTAGCAATGGTCACCACTAAACCCGCACGGGCAGGGAAGCACAGCTGTCATGCGTTAGTGGAGAGAATATCAAGTAAGATCAGACCGTTAGGGTTTGAATGTGGCTGCAAAAAGGTGGGGGAGGGCTAAACGAGAGCCTTCCTGCCTGACACATGACAAGTAATGTGTAGCTGTGGGAAATGAGGAACCAGAACATCATATCTGGTAGAGCAACAGAGTTGGCGTCATCCAGCCGATCGTGTTGTACTAAGACCTAAAACCACCGTTAAGGCCTAGTGGCCTTGAACCTCATGGCCAGGGTCACAAAAAATCTAAGTGCGGATGACGAGGAGGAGGAATTAGCAAAATTTCGACAGGTTGGAATGAGAATGTCATGAAAGCAGCTGGGATCATGTAGGGAGGTTGTCATATTTACAGTTAGTGGAACGAGCGAGCGAGATGGCACGGTCAAGAGAAGAGATGGAATAGTTGCGGGTGTGCTATCAAACTAGCTTTGGCGGTGTCCGAACACTTATTACTAATATACTGTCCCCGTTCACAATAACCCCCACTTTGCACGACGGAGACCCTTTATTCGGATTACTTTGGAAAGCTGGAAATTACCGCCATGTAATCTTCCGTTTCAACCAGTTCAACGGCTAGCCCCCCTGCTAGCCACCTCGGCGAAAAAGTCCCTACATTTCAAAAACTGACCACCTACTCTGGCCCGGCTAGCAATTGTTTCTGGGTAAGCGAACTAATCATCCCTTTCCTGGGTACATTTAGCGTGGTGTCATCCACCTTTAGATCTTCTATCAGTCGTCTCCATTTTATCTGATGCCTTCTGGCACCCAACAGACGATGCTGCTTTCGTGTTATTCCTTCCTAATTCCTTCTCCCACTCAGCCGCATACTTCGGCTGTAGTCGCCTCAACCATCAGTACGACCATTATTCATTCAATCTGACCGGTTCCCGGTCCAGAGCCACATTGTCCTTTAGGTGAAGGGAAATTATCCATGGCCCTGCGTTGGCCTGACTCCGTCTGGTCACCCTCCCGGCCTTACCCAGCCCCGGCTGCCGTGGAAACGCTAATCCCCTACCCGATTCCGGCACCCTTAACAACCGTTACTGGGCTGTCCATACACCGAAGTATATCAGTGTAATAGTGGCATGGCACTGCCATACCCAGTGTGGTGGCACTCCCGAAGCTACTTTCTTAAGAATCGCGACAGCAACCTCTCGCCCACTCCAACCTGTAATTGTCACCACAAGCAAATTTCTTACCTGTTCCCAACCGCTTCTGGGACGAGTTAATTCTAACCTGACCTAAATTTCGTTTGGATTTGACCAACTTCAACTGCAATTTCGGTTTACTTCTTCCTCAAGTTCAAATCCATCTACGCTTTTCCCTTGGCCTTATACATTAGCGCTATCTTCCCGTCGAGCCTAACTCTTGCACTGACTTACCTACAACATTGGCACCAGTAAGTCTACTTAGTTTCAAGTTAAAACATATTTTTGAGAAAAAGCTTCATATTTCGATCCACTTCGAATTATTCCATCTCCATCTTTGCTTGTTGTTACTCTGGCAACTTACTCAACCGCCCAAGGTCACTCATGGCCAGCAGTGGTTCTCACTTTTGGTTCATGTCAGCCGGCTTCACCTTTGAACCAGTCGGACCTCATGCCCATTGTCCAAGTTTTTCCTAGGCTCCTGCTAATGCGGATTTTTCATGTAAAAAGCATGCCTTCGTTGTCCTGTTTCCTGCTGCGTTTGGGCTGTGACGACCCGATCATGCCTCAATCAGCATGCCCCATAGAACTTGGAAAATGAACCTGTTGTTATTTTCATCAGATATTGCCCCATGTTTATGGCACCGTTCTCTTTTTCACGCACTCTGCAGTACCCCCAACTCCCCGTAGTCATGCTTTATTCTGACTGTAAACGTATGACCGCACCTTACTGTACGCCACCTACACGTTGGGTATAAACATTATTATTATTCCAGCTTAACCCAATCAAAATACGAGGGACTCATATTGGATATCATACTTTTCGACCTCCGAAAGCATTTGGTCGAGTCCCACACGCTTTGGTGCTAAAAATACTCGAGTATTACGCGATTCAAGATGTATTTCTACGCTGCCAAACAAAGCATTCCGAGTATAGGTAGGTTAGATCTAATCTTCTGCATCGGATTCAATTGGAGTTCCTCAGTGCTGTGCTAAGGGATCACTGCTGTTTCTGATACACATCAACGACCTTCCGGATGTTCCTTCGGGACGTCTTCCAAGAACGAGGGTTGTCCACGCTACATCTAGAACCCAGTAAAAAAGCAAACTGAGATGCTTTTTATGCTAGTCCACGCGTTGGCGAGCTACTGCTCCACCCTGAGAAATAGGAGAAATGCTGCACACTTTTCCTCTTGTGCTTTTCAGGTGAATTGCAGCCACTGAACGACGGAAACAAGGTGGGCCCGGGAAACCTGGGCGAAAGCCTCTTTCCTTTCTATCAGTTCGTGAATACGTGAAAAAAGCGTGAAGGTTAAACCTCAGGGTTATGTTAGCGCGCTACCCTAATTCATAGTTCCCAGTGATAGCAAGAAGTCATTACCATCCAGTCCACATCTGAAAGGCCCCTTTTGCATTTCATTATTTCTTCCTTTTTCTTTATTCCGGCGGCTAGAAAGAGGTTAAAATGTGTTTGAACTAACATAACGCTTTGGTCAGAAAATGCGTCGTTATTGTTACGGCTAACTGCTTTTTGAACTTGAGTGACGCGTACCAATCCATGAAAGGGACCAAAAATCCGATTTCTGAAAGCACTGTACTATTGCAAAGACAATAATATACACGTTCAACGGATTCTCCTCTGCAGATACCGTAGGGTTACAAAATAAGGCGGTGCAATCACCAGCCTGAAGATGAAGTGCAGGTCACTTCGCCTCAAATTGGATATCGTCACAACGAAACAGATGTCGACTGCGAGCAACCGCCGAAATCACGATATCCGACCAAAGTTCATAGGAGTTATAAAAAGGTTTCAGTAAAACAAGGTTTCAATTCATCTGTCAAGGGGAATAAATGTGGAGCTGGGCTGCCACATGTGGTTGGGAAACGGAGCACACAGTTGGTAAGCTGTCTTTTACAGTTATCCTCTCCAACTTCCATGCCCATCTACAGTAGTGGGTTTGCCCCGGGTTCTCTCTCAAATCCAGTGAACTTCCCGGCACATTTTCACTATCAGACCAATGCGTTTGGATTTAAGTCTTGTTTGTGGATCGAGGATCCCGCAAGTTAAAAAACCGTTCATCTGAGTATAAGTTAGCACTCCATTGTGCCACTCCTAGTGTAAGTACTTACCCACAGCTCGCAGTTTACCCCACAATAATCGTTTTGAAGATTACCGATGCACTAGGCCGCAACACTTTGTGTACGAATCCCCAGAGAAAAGCATCATATAATCAACAGTTTTTGTTGTACCTGTCAAGTGTGGACTAATTTTACTATTGCGCGTGGTGGATTTTACTATTCCGCAACGTTCACGATCTCGTGCACTATATCGAGTATTTTGAGCAGATTTCAGGATCGTTATATAGCGTGAGAACCCAAAAAGCGTGTTCTTCCGGTGACGAAACGTTCACCAGTGCGACCAGAGAGGATTTTAACGCCGTCCTAAAAACGGAAAACGACGCTGGCTGCTTGATCGCGCATTTTTCAGCGTTGTCAAGCCGTATAACTCGCTCAAAATAACGCGATTTATTATGATTCATAACCACAAACTTCTGGGTGCCAAAGCACTCAGGCGATTCAACTGGAACCATCGAATGAATCCAGGAGAATTGTAGATCACACGGCTGATCCTGAATTCCAGAGCCGCTGTCTCAAAGCTCGCCACTACGTGAGACTTTCATGCCATGAAAGGGATTGGGAATCTGACGAAGCTGGAAAGGTAACTGCCTTTTACAACGACAAACAGCAAGTAAATCATCAGTTTACCGGACAAATTTCTTCCTGGGAAAAAAGAAAAACCCTTATTTACTACCATAGAATGATTGGGTTTTATTGCAACGGTTTGAATGTGTAAGACCGGATAATAACCGGAAGTTAAGCAACTGCAACTGTGCGCCTAGATGCAGGACAACGCTATCCGAAACTTGTAGCCGTTATGCTCCGGGAAGCTCATACGACTCAACACATATTCAACTACTACCGTAAACACCAACCCACTCTGTTTAGTAAGCGGATAGCTACATATTCAGGGTGACAGGCAACAAAACATTGGCCCAGTCCGAGTTTAGCCAATACGAGCACACGCCAGTTTACGAATCGGAGAAAGCACACTGTGGCCACATGTTCCACCAGACAGCAAGAGAATTTGTCGTTTTGGTGTTTCCTTAGTGTACGGGATGTTGACAGGAAGCACACAACTGACACGTTTGTGGAAGTTCTTCAGTAAACTCAACTATGCGATGAGCTCACAAACCCTTCATGTTAATGGTCTGGATACCAGACATTTATTCACATACGGTTACACAGAAAATAGGTATTATACCCATGCCCTTATTTACTACCATAGAATGATTGGGTTTTATTGCAACGGTTTGGATGTGTAAGACCGGATACTAACTAACCGGATACTACTACCCAGTGTTTTATTGGACAGAGGTTAATTTACGTTGTTGTCATCAGAAAGAATGTTCATTTCATATATCTTACGTGTATTTCGTCTATGGATGCTGTGCGCCTGCCCAGTAACACATCATCCGACATACGCCACCGCATTATTCGTACGTGCAATGTCGCAAAGTAGAATTCTTTTTTATTCTCAACTTGGATACACTGCGCCATACTGACGCCAGTTCCTCAACTGAGCTTATTTTTTCACAACTTGTTGTCCGCGGATGACTGTCGCTTTCACAGTGAGGCGAAAGACGGTCAAGTAACGTCCGTATACGCCTGAAACCAAGTTCTATGACAGGCTGTGACATACTTGGATAAGATGCATATGTCACATAATCGTGACCGAAAAGAGCCTGTTTATCGTATGATCATGGCTGTACGGGAGTAAATCACCGGTGTCCGTTGTCCAGCACGTCTCAGAATGGTAAAGGCTGAGTATATGGATTTGAAGGCGACATCGAAGTATCCACGACCGAGTCAACTCTATACCGCGCAGCCAACGGCAATGGGCGGCAATCGGGTATATCAGTTCTCAAGAATGGGTTTACGTGTATGCCGCCAGAGGTCTTCATCATCGATAGCACGATATCAGGGTTCAAAACCGATGCTTAGTTGGCGTACAAAAATGATTTATTTGAAAGTCTTGTTGTGAATAAAAGAGTAAAAGTGTACGGGGACTGGAATTAGAGCTACCTTACTACAATCATCCAGAGGTGCCTACGCCTCCAAACACTCATTCGGGCAATCTGGATAGAAACTGATAACAAGAATGCCATTGACATCGGTTGACAGCTACAGCTTGCAACTTCTTCGACAAGCCGCAGTGAGGATAACGCAGTGACCATCCCGGGAGGCGAGTAGCACCGTCGGCACCCAAGCGTCTCGTGATCTCCTTCGTACCCCGCTGCAAGCCAAGGGTTGGCCACCTCTCTGGTTACGTCACTTGAATTAGGCATAGAAAAGAGTACTCTCCTCGGTCAATGATGGTTAGGTATACGCAACAGGTGTCCCAACCGACGAAGCTTCTGGTTTTGGACGCATTCCTCAATGGAAGTACCCGTTGCACAACCGAAAACGCGTCCAACTGCCCCATTAGGGATTCGCCCGCACTAACCCACACGAGCTATGGTCCTGAGACAACGATTGTGCAACACCTGAAGACGTCTCAGCTCCGCTGCCCGAACAGGCCAAGTCTCAGTCATACAACGAAACAACCCGCACTTTGGCTTGATAAACAAACACATCTGTTGCGAATCAGGGATACGCCACTCTGACCCCATAGGTGTTTCGAATTAGCAAACGCGCAGATTCGTGCACTCACCTTATCTGTCACACTACGATCAGAGCTAATACAACTTCCAAGATAAGTAAAACGTTCCAAAATTCCAGTGGCTCTATTCGGATTGTAAGTGGCATGCTCGGTATGTCAAGGAGCACTTTGTGCGTACAAAGTGTATACCAAAGGACGAGATGACTTTGGTCAGATCATCCAAAATCACTTGCACCTTCTCCTCCTCTCCGAACATGAGAACGATGTAGTCTGTATATTCCAGATCGACAAGGTTTTTGTCACAGGTCACTTAAACATCGGGGGTTTGGAAAACTTTCAGCGTTCATCTCATGATTTCATCTATCACGAATTCGAACAGGAATGGGAGAGAGTGAGCATCCCTGACGGACATCACGTTGTGTACGGAAGTTTTTGGAGAGCTCGCCCCATACTCCGGAGTTCTGGGAATACAAAGAGCTTATGATGTTTACGAAGTTTTGGGGCTTTCCTTGGTGGGCGAGCGTGTCAAGCAGAAAAGGCCGATCAACCGCGTCAAATGAATCTTGGAAATCCAGGAACACTAGAATTGTGAGTCGCTTGTACGTGTGGCGTTGTCCCAGCACCTGAGGGTGTTAATATTTGGTCAGCGTAAACCCTACATGCTCTCAAGTCAGCATTTCGCAAACCACCATAGGGCGAGCAAGCACCAACGACGCCAACAGTCTCGCTGGCGACGACGGGGTCAAGCTGATCCCCTGCACTCACAACAAGCCCCTTCTTCTGAAAATGGGCACTATCCCCGACTCTCCCCATTGCCTGGGACAGACTCCTTTTCCCAAACGCAAGCCACCTCTTTGGACAAGCGCTGACTGAGAAGTTAACCCTTAATTTTGAATAATACGGATGGGAGGTCATCCGAACCAGAGGCTCAGTGGCGCTGGAGAAAACATATGCAGTCATAAGCCTCCGAGGCCGTGGGCGGTTCCACGTTCACTGCCGAGGGTCCTACGTCACCTGCATGCTCCAAATGGGTTGCAGCTGGTGGCCGTGACAATGGATGTTCGGAGTGTTCGGCCCATTGGTCCAGGGGTGCTTCTTGATTCGTGATGGTTTCGCACCTCTTGGTGTCTCATATTCTTCGTATCGGGTTATGTTCAGGATCGGCTAGGGTATTTCGCCGAGACTTAAGCAAAGCCACCGTTCGGTCTGATATTCAGTGTTTGAGTGGGCCTGGTGGTGCCATACCACAGGTGAAATTCCTAGCACTATGCAAAGAGATGGCAATCTGGTCCCACAGTATGAGTTCACATCTGATGGTGGAGCACTTGGAAGACTGTAGAAGACGATCCTGGTAAGTTCTTTAACCTACAGATCTGTCAGTCTTTCAGTTGCCAAGCGACTTCTCCGCACCTTACGCGGCCCTGGAAAACGTGAGGAGAAGCGACTCCGGACGAGCGTATTGTCGGAATCCATAAACGTGTTCTAAAACGACCGGCAGTCAGCTATTAATTCACGCCATTGGTAACTGATGGCAATGCAGTCGATTTGAGTTTGTGGCGAGTATGCCGTTGGACATCATGTGGCCAGACGACTTCGGCTACTTAGGAAGTTGTTACTGAATAAAAACAGCCTTTGATCCGTTCAAAGCTAAAGCAATCATTCCCCATCGTCCATACGTTCCGAGTCCGATTCTCGATCAGTTGAGTCCCAGACACGCCAAGCCTGCCCGCTCATGCATTCAAATCTCCGGCAACCACCATGATGTCTGATCATTTAGCTGGCAACAGCAGGGGATTCAGGGCGTCACAAAACCTATCTTTAACGGCGTCGGGACAACAGTCAGTTGGACAGACACGATAAACAGACATTTATCAACTTTCCGCTTGTGAGACTCTTTCACAGACGTTACCAGGTGAACCGCACAGAGGCGACTATCAACGGGTATCCAGTCAAGCAAAAGCCCTTTCGGCCGGTGACTCAAGACGAAACTCATCCCTGCACATCTGACCGCAGCAGCCTCTGGGTCACCAGATATGCGTAGCCGGAAGCGAGTGGAGACTGATGGAGCGGGTAGCTCACTGTGCTTGCATCTTGAAGTCTCGTTTCTGAGACACAGCACACATCAATCCCAAGCGAGTCCAGTGTGAGTGCGAGAGCAACTCGTTGCCCTACTTGCTCCAGAGTGCGGACATTGAACGCGGTCAGGTAGACTGGAGTCGAGGCTTGAAGATTGATTTGAAGATGCCTGACGATGTCGGCACCACGTGACGAGCAGGTGCTGCACGCAAAACCGATGCAAGATGAACGGAGCCATCAGTCCTAAGTGCTGGGTCCATAAGAGGAGAATTATAGATGGGATGGGGAGAGGGGGAAGAAAAATGAAGGGGGGCGTCAGCAGTAGTCTATTTTCGCCTACACTCCCTACTGTATGCAGCATGTAAGGCGACCCGACGGCATCAAGCTACGGCCAATGTGACATATACCTATTTGCACAAGTGCGGTTCATGGTTGGACGTGGGCTGGGATACTGTCAGGGCGCCCACACCTAGACAGCAGGACGATTAGGGTCCTCAACCAAAGTCTTTGGCTCAAAGGTCTGACCGTAAGGCAGCGGTTTGGCGGGAAATGCACATGCATTACCACTTCAACGGAACAAGTCGTCACATGTACCAGACCCCAACCTGGAGGATTAGGATTGTTTTCGTCAGACCTCTAACCATTGACCAATCTGGTATTAATTACCACAAGCCCTTTATGGAGACGAATGAAAATTATTACAACTCTATTTATAGAGTAATCACAGAGTGTTCGGCAAGGTTGTACTAGAATCTCCGTGAAGGGGTGAGAAGCGACGAATCAAAGATGCTCGATTAGGATTCGTCGGCATTCTGACCAATCAGGGCACGCCCTCGTTTGGTGCATATCCTACATATCGCATCCGTGCAAGTGATGTGACTTTCGGTCATTAGGGACGGCTGATCTCCGGACTCCACTCTTGTGTGTAAACTGGAATTATGATGAATAAATAATAATCGCCCATCTATAACGCCTCTTTGGAGCCCAGCTGCCATACAACCCGGATCCAACAGCCCTTGACAACCGATGTCTCAGATGTGTAACTGAAATCGGCCGCAATTAGCGAATTTTCACTAAGACGATCAGTACGTAAATGTTGGGTGAAACGGAGGTCACTCCTAGCAAAGAGTTCACCTAGTACTGCAAACTGGGATGGTCGGGCCACGTGTTACGCATGTCAAGTTAGCGCCTGCCCATACGAGCGCTGTTTTCCGTGCCTAATTAGAGGTGGCGTAACCTAGGGGTGGACATAGTTAGGCATGACAGAAAGGAAATGAAGAATGTTTCGGAAGTTTGATCTAGGATTGTGTGCATGTGGTCCCCTGTGTTTGTCTGGAGACTGGGCGACATGGCGGCTAGCCGATGTCTCCGGCATTCATGCTGTCATTTTCTATCCAGGGTGCTTGACTGATGTAGACAGTTGTAGGCACCTCGGATGTTTATGATAGGCAGGCCCTAATTCCCTCTTCCTTCTCCTTCTCTTCTTTCGATTGTAAGGCTTTTTGAAAAGAAGATGGCCGTACGGCAGTGGTGTACCGGTGTTTTCATGTAGTTCCAGTGTCGCTGTCAATGCTGATGATGATGAGAAATTGGTTGTAACTGGGCTCTAGATGTAGCGTAGACAGCTGTCGGAGGAAGTTCACTGCACGCACTAAGCACCCGAAGTGAGGAAAGTTGTGCAATATGATCACACGCTCTAAATCTGAAGAGCTTATCGTCCCCGATATACGTTAGTAGGGTCAACGATGAAAAACTCGTCGGCCAAATTCTGCTCAAGCGAGACGATCGGAGGCATCGCTAGTCCAGGGAAAAGAGATCGGGGATCCTCGGATCCATATTACTCCATGCACGTAGTGTATGGACAGTTTGAACATCCGTGTTGCCGAAGCACTTACTGTGTCCGGTGGAATGTCGAACTGGCCATAATGGCACGCCTTATATGGTCTAGGAATGGAAGACTCTCGCGATGGACGAGCTGCTCATCTTCATAGGTTATGCTGACTAGAACATGTGCTTCTGACGTTACAGGACTGTGTACTTCGCTTGGCGCTGTCTTACCAGCTCGATGGTAAGTGGAAGCGATGGAGAAGCGGAAGGCTTCTGACCTGACAATCAGGGATGAAAGTCTGGACCAGTGGGGTCATTCGAATTGAGAACTGCTGCCTCCCTCAGTGGAGGCAGCAGTTGTCAACTCATCAGTGACACTGGCACACATGACCTTATCAAGCCTCTAATGCGTAGCGGCCCAAACCTGGACAAACTGATCATGACGTTGTTCCCAGCGCTTGGCTGTCTCCCTCGCTCTCCCATTTCCCCGTGGCCAAAACTGTCTAAAATCAAACGTCAGAACTTACGATCATAGCACGTGCTATCCGTAATATTACGACATACTCAAGTTATCGTTTGCCCCGCTGTTGCGTACGTAAAAAGACGGTGCCCAGTAAGATGCTGGAGAGAAATCTAAAACAGCAATTTGACCGTTGCTACTATGGGGTTGATAAACACCACTGCGCAGGTTAAACCATGAGTTTCACTTGTGAAACCACCGAAATGGGTGTAAGGCTGCTAACTGCAACGATGCTTCCAAGCGGGATAACGGCGGAGGATGGGTGTAAGTTAGCATCTTTGACGGGATGGGATGAATTGTTTGTGCAGCCGCAGATGGTAGTCACCTTAGACTCCACTGTTTGCAATTTCGCTTTTTTTGTGATGTAAAATCGATTTCAGAGGATTTCAATTTTTTTCATTCCTACTGATGAGGTAGTGTCTCTGACATGTCCTTAGTAAAATGTGGGGAACCTCAGACTCTCGCCTAATGTTGCTCCGCTTTTCCAAGGTCTTCCAAATTTCCTACCACTCTGTAGCTTACACTAATACAGTGAAGAATGAAGTAAGCGCCCTCGGTAGTCCACTTGGCAGAGCAAGCGGGCTTGCGTCCACCCTCAGTCGTACCTTCTTCTCCATACTGTGGCAAGAACATCAAATTGCTGAAAATAAACACAAAAACAGGAAACTGAGCTAGTGAGCCGATTCCCACTAGACGAGCCTCCTCTGAAGCTTGGTCGTGATTGGGCATTCGATTGACTAAACGGAGACATTCCATGTTTTTTAATATTCTAGCAAGTTCTGGACCGGATGCGTGTAAAATTAGAAGATGAATGGTCTTCACCACCTGAGATTTTATGCATTTTCGTCTCACTGTTTTGGTTCGTATGTCTTGCGCTCTCAATAATATGCTAAAAACTGGGGGCAGCAGTAAACAGAATATTCAGTTTATTTGAACTTTACACTTTAAGGCCTTCTATTCTATCCTTGTTCTACTTTTACTCGGCCTCTTGTTCTTCTGGTCACACTTCATTGGTTATAGCTTTGCCTGGGCTGCGCCTCCACTGTTTTGCAATGCGATTTCATGTGTAGTGTCTCGATATTGTCTACAGACATCCGACAAAGATGTATGCCTTCTTCGTTTCATTGCAGGAAAGTCCTTTTCCTTAAGGTTTCGGTGGTCGCTTCTCTCTGCTCACAAGCATGAAGAAACGCGTTAAAGTTGAGGTTCCCAAAAGGTTGGACAAAGTGGTCATTTCTAGCTTTGTAGTTCTGAGAAAGGTTCCAAAAATCTAACTACTGTTACGAGCACCGGTTCTTCAAAGAAGATAAAACAACTTCTTGCCCAACAGAAAGTCATGGCCCAGGTACATTTGTTTCTTCCTCTAACGGTTTTCTAGGAAACCAAGCAACGAAAGCAAGTGATCTTGGAAAAGAAGACCCAACGACTTCAGAAGCGGAAAGAAAGGAATATTGCAATGCAAAAGCGCACCAGCAAGGGACAACCAATCATGCGACATCGTGTCAAGTTGTTATTGGATGAACTAAAAGCGATGAGTTAATGTTTATGAAGTAGCTGAGCACGATTGTCTGGTCGCTTCCTTCTCTCCTTGTTGTATCGTGGATGGCCGTCTATTGATTACGCCTGCACTGAGCCTGCCAGACTACGGCATAAGGAAAAGACAAAACCCGGGACACAGCTGTATTGTCAGGACAAAAACATACAGAGCTTATGCGCAAATATATAGGATGACTAAATGGCCAAATATGGTCGCCCAGTTGTTCGTTCTGTACAGCCAATAGTAGTGTTCCGGTCGTGAACAATTTCAGCTCCACTCCACTGGTCTTATTTTGCTAAGCCGGGTTTGGTGAGCTCCGCCAACGCACCTGCTTTCCGGACGTGTGTGCCGATGGTGACCTTGGAAATGCGTCACTCTCTGCACGTGTACTTTTCCCATGTCTGGGCGCGTCTTGACACTCCTGGACCTCATCCCCCAATTAGTTTGACTCCAGTTTTCGCCTAACCCCTAATCAGAATCATGCTGTCCTTATCCTACCGTAAAGTTGGCGGTGCCTGGTGACCACTGTGTTGGGTACCTCATGGCGTTTTTTATTATTCGAACCAGCTCCGAACGTAACGGGACTACATAACTACCAATGGAATAACCGTTTTTCGCTGAGACAGATTTCATTGGTTGTTCTTCACTCGCTCTTGACAGATGAGTTGTATTCTTAGTATCACTTTTGACTGCTTGTACGCGACAGTGATCAATAGAGAAGCTGGCTCGTGCATTCGTTGACTTCTGGTTTGGCGAAGTGAGCAGGCGATCAAGCGGCTATCCAGGCCGGGGTTCGTGGTAATGAAAAGGCATTAAGGGACTGTGGTCCACAACAAATTGGTGACGGAACGATTGGAAATCGAACTCCACAATGCCACTTTCACATGAAGAACTGGTTTTGATTTTGTAACCGCAGCAGGCAAAAGTTGAAGAGTCTCAGTTGAGGTTAGTCGAAGCAATCCTTCACAAAATGGAAATTCGAAGCCCATCCATAACTGAAATGAAGAAATCCTCTGTTGACGCTGTTGCGAACAGTAGAGTTGCGTTTCACTACGATGCAGAATCCAATACCATTTGCGGATCATGTTTCCGAAGATACAAAGACATTTTTCGGACGGAATTGGCGGATTTGGATGATGCTTGGAAATCACGCGTGTTACTCCGGAAGCTCGGAACAAGCGAGCCTGACAAATTCATTAATTTTATTCTCCCCAAATTCCCGAAAGACTTTTCCTTCGATGAATTTGATATTTTTTGCTAACCGTCTTCTTTACTGAACGTTCGCTACAACGAACCAGCTCCGAACGTAACGGGACTACATAACTACCAATGGAATAACCGTTTTTCGCTGAGACAGATTTCATTGGTTGTTCTTCACTCGCTCTTGACAGATGAGTTGTATTCTTAGTATCACTTTTGACTGCTTGTACGCGACAGTGATCAATAGAGCAGCTGGCTCGTGCATTCGTTGACTTCTGGTTCGGCGAAGTGAGCAGGCGATCAAGCGGCTATCCAGGCCGGGGTTCGTGGTAATGAAAAGGCATTAAGGGACTGTGGTCCACAACAAATTGGTGACGGAACGATTGGAAATCGAACTCCACAATGCCACTTTCACATGAAGAACTGGTTTTGATTTTGTAACCGCAGCAGGCAAAAGTTGAAGAGTCTCAGTTGAGGTTAGTCGAAGCAATCCTTCACAAAATGGAAATTCGAAGCCCATCCATAACTGAAATGAAGAAATCCTCTGTTGACGCTGTTGCGAACAGTATAGTTGCGTTTCACTACGCTGCAGAATCCAATCCCATTTGCGGATCATGTTTCCGAAGATACAAAGACATTTTTCGGACGGAATTGGCGGATTTGGATGATGCTTGGAAATCACGCGTGTTACTCCGGAAGCTCGGAACAAGCGAGCCTGACAAATTCATTAATTTTATTCTCCCCAAATTCCCGAAAGACTTTTCCTTCGATGAATTTGATATTTTTTGCTAACCGTCTTCTTTACTGAACGTTCGCTACAACTGCCTGACGCTGGTTAAATCGGACAGTAATGACTATTTTACATGTTCACCACGAGATGCCGATGTCCGAATTCGGTTGCTAAGCAAGATTGAACAGGATCCATCGATGGACCTTCAAGCGACTACCACAGAGTGCCAACGTTTGCTTTGTCTCAAGCACGATACAGTCATGATAGAATGCATTAATCTATCTCATTCCGGCAATGTGCATGCCGTTTCGAAGATTATTCTAAGGCCAGATGCGAAGAAGCAATCGGTGGAGTTCAGTAGGCCACCTACGCCCTGCTGGCAGTGCAATAAATGGAACTTCGTCCTTTTCTGTCCTTTCAAGAAGCACCAGTGTCAGAAGTGCCACAAAAAAGAGCACAGAGAAGTGTTGCCACAGAACCTTCTCTCAACAAGGCAACAGACCATTCAGGCGAATAGTGCGTCCTTCAAAGCCACGAACCAAACCAGTACTGGCCACTTTCAACCCGAATCGGAAACGTCAGAGAAATTTGTGTCAGTTGGTCTTAAATGACACACCGGCATGTCTGAAACTCGATACAGCCTCCGACATCACAATCATTTCAAAAGATACCTGGAAACTAATGGGTAGACCTCCTTTCAACCCCATAAATTGTGCTGCTCTAAACGCTTCTGGTGGAAAATTACGGTTGACCAGTGAGCTTTCTTGTTCTGTGCTGTGCAGCATTCTTTTTACTGGAATATTTCACCTGACCAGTTTAGCATATGCGGACCTGCTTGGCGTGGACTGGATCAACAGACTGAAGCTGATGGAAATCCCCCTGAACACTGTATGCAAACTTGTAAATTCGGATGTCTCTCAAATCTCAAAATGGACAGAACAACTTTTAAAAACTTTTTGTATGTGTTCAACGATACCCTCGGAGAGTGTTCAAAGATGAAAGCCGTTCTGTTTCTACTTTAGAATGCAAAAGCTGTGTCCCGCCCATACGCCGTCTTGCCTGTAATTGATCAAGAGCTACAGAAACTGCAAAACGAGGGAGTCACTCAACCACCCAATCATTCAGAATGGACAGCACCGATTGTAGTAGTCAAAACGCCTAACGGCAGTCTGGATATGTGAAGACTTTTCAACTAGTCTCAACGCGACACCAAAGGATCACCAGATGAACTGTTTTTCAACCTGATCGGTGGAAAATGTCTCGCCAAGATGGATCAATGTGATGCTTGTTTGCAGGTTGAAGTGTCAGACGAGAGTAAGCACCCGCTCACAATCAATACTCATCGTGGACTTCTCCAATACAACCGACTACCGTTCGGTGTTAAGTCAGCAGCTAATGGACACCATGCTACAAGGACTATCATTCACTTTTGCCTATTTGGACGATATTATTATCATCGGCTCTGACGCACAAAATCTCCATAAACGTCTCGGTCAAGATCTGGACCGAATCCAAGACTATGGATTCTACCTCAGAAGTGAAAAGTCAATTTTTCATGGACTCCATCAACTACCTCGGATTCATAATCGATCATCGTGGCCGCAGACCGGATCCGGAAAACACAGATGCCATCAAACTAATATCCTCACCCAATGATTTACCCATATTGAGGTCATTCCTGGGACTCATCAGCCATTATAATGGTTTTGTGCCAGCAATGCATGATATCCATGGCCCACTGAACCGTCTGCTACTCAAGGACTCTTAATGGAATTGGGACGCTGATTGCGAGGAAAGTTTTCAGAAGATCAAGACTATTCTTACTTCCGACCTACTTTTGACACGTTATGATTTGTCTCGTGATAACACTGTTGTGACCGATGCATCCGGCTACGGTATAGGAGTAGTCATTTCACATAGGCTTGAAGATGGCTAGGAAAAAGCCATAGCCCATGCCCGCTCGATCTTTGACAGCTGCAGAACGAAGTTACAGTCAGATCGAAAAAGAACCCTGGCGGTTGATTTGGTGTGAAAAAGTTCCACAAGTTGCTTTATAGCCGCAAATTCACTTTAATTACTGACCACAAACACTTATCGCCCGTGTTCGGATCCAAGAAGGGTATTCCTGTATGTTCTGCTAATCGACTTCGTAAATGAGCAACAATGTTACTCGGTCGCAACTTTAGTATCAAGTTTAAATCTACTGACAAGATCGATCAGGCGGATGCATTACCAAGACTTTTGGAAAATAGACCACCGGACTTGGGAGATTCAGTTATATATCATATCTCAGCTGAACCAGAAATACGATGTACACTAACGGAATCCATCAAAGGTACTGCAGGCACATTCGCAATGATACGCAAGGCAACCATACAGGATCCGCTGCTGAGTCAAGTAAAGAAGTACCACCTCTCCAAGTGGCCACAAAACGGTAAAAACAAAGAATTGCTTCAGTTTTATCAAAGGCAATCGTCACTTTCCGTCGTTGATGATTTCTTATTGTTCGCAGAACGCGTTGTCGTACCACAGGAGCTGCAAAAGCTTGTTTCGCAACAGTTGAATAAAGGACATCTCGGGATCAACCGGATGAAATCGTTGGTCCAAAGCCATGTTTATTGGCCTCATATTGACAGGCAGGTCGAAACCCTTGTCAAATCTTGCCACCAATGTGCGTTGACTTCAAAGTCCCCTCATCATCATCATTGTCAGGTGTAATAACCGCGTACTCGTACAGTGGCTATAGCTGCCGCAGTTTCGTTCACCGATGTTTGGGGGGGGATAGGTACAATGGGCTGTCAAGGGAGGGGGTTAAAAAAAGGAGCTATGCACTGAAGGCAATAGCTTGGATGCATGAGCACCATTGAAGGTGCGACTGGGCCATATCTGACAATGTCTCTAGCCATTGGTGTGGCCCTCTCGGGGTCCCCATCCAGGAAGACGGCAGTGACCAGCGCAGCTGAGTTTGCTGCCAAGTCATTGTTTGTCCGCCTCTGGCTCTCTTCCACCCTTCACGTGGTTGTGCGAAGAGAGCCCTTCGAGGAAGTCGATCGACTGGTATACGCAACACGTG